AAATGGACGAGGTCATGGAGAGAGAGGGAACAAAGTGAAGAAAGACAGAAGTCAAGGGCTGACCCATGAATAATAAATATAACCGTAACCATAGTACTAAATATAATCATATGCCTGAATAATCAACTATAGCCAGAAAAATAGAGAGAATCATCAAAAGAAGGGAGTCATTCCTCTTATTGTTGGTTAGAAGCAAGGATGTATTTAAAAAACTTCTTTATTTTAGAGGCACAAAAAAAGAGAAAGAGAGAGAGAGACAGAGAGGCAGAGAGACAGAGAGAGACAGAGAGACAGAAAGAGACAGAGAGAGCGCTCCCAATTCACTGTTGTATTCCCAAATGCCCACAAGAGTCATGGATAACCATACTAAAGCCAGGACCAGGAATTCTAACCACTTGAGCCATTGCCTACTGTGCTCTCAGGGTGTAGCAATGGATTTAAAGTGAGACTGAGTTCCGGTCCTTACCATTTACAAAAAGTGACACCCCATGCTTTAGCTTAGGTTTTTAGAGCTACAGCATGCTTAACTGAATTATGGGAATAATAATAGTACCAGACTTACAAGGCTGTGGTGAGAGTTAAATAAAAAGGTCTGTGGAAGATATTCACCACAGGACTTGACACAGGAGAGAAGTCAGTGGTTCTCAGATATTATTTATTTAATATTAGCCTTATTTCAAGTGCAATCCATCAAGGAGAAATAGATACAGAAAAGATCACAAAGGGAAAAAAAAAACATTTAAAAATGTAGTCTGCCATGCCAGGTACTGGAAGGGCTAATCAAGGAAAGGGCTAGAAAGTCTCCATTGAACTTAGGAACAAAGAATTCATTCAGAAGCTGAACAAGAGTGTTCTCAATATACCAGTGCTGTTAGGAAGTGCTGCTTCTGATAATTGTGTTTTAGGACTTCGTTAATTTGAAAACTGAAACTCAGTATATCTGGTCTCACTATCGTGAAACGCCTAAACTATTCCCTAGCAGAAAACAATGGTGAACGTGTTTTCTTCCTTCCCATCTATTCCTTGGTTTCTTTCTGTAGCCCTGGTTTGTGCTGATAGTACTGTGATTTATGGAAAAGCTGGTTATGGAACCCAGGACTCTGAAACGCCCAGACCCTCTGTTAAGAGAGGAAATCTTGGGCTTGACAATATCTAACCAGCTTCCTCTTAGTAAACAACAAACACGCCGGGCACAGCTTCACACAGGGTATGGCCCTGTGTTCCTTACTGCAGGAGAAGTTTCTGTGACCCACATTAAGGGGACAACAGAGACTAGTACAAAGTTACACTTGACATCAAGACCCCAATTCTAAACCTACGGGGTCCCCAGTGGGACAGTGAGGGAGCATTCATTCCACAAGACACTGGGTGCGGCCAAAGGAAACTGAAAGTTGGTTATGAGTTCTGTCTTCAAGGAGCACATGTCCTGTTGGGGAAAGCCATGTGGGTACCTGAGTAACAGTTACACCAGGTAGAATTTTTCAAGTGGTGAGAAGGAAAAGAGGTACAAGCTGGTTGTAGAATTTCGCAGCAAGACAGGACAATTCTGAACAAGAGTTCATAGAAGCATCAGCGTGTGGGATGTGCCTTGAAAGGTGCAGTGCAGACAGGAAGTCAGGAACTGATTTTGGAAAGAAGAGGAATTGTGTGTCGAGACAAAGTTAAACATGCTTTTTTCACAATCAGCAAGTAAACTTCGAGGCATGTGCAAGGTCTAGCTGGAAAATTTGAACTTTGTCTCTCTGGCAGTAAGGAGTTTCTGAAAGCTTTCACAGACCAATATTCACAGACCAATAAATAGCTAGGATTTGCATCTTGGGAGTGAGGAATATGCAGACTCAGGAATCTGGTGATGTTGATGAAGGTGAAGCACAGATTAAAATCCACAAATGGGGCTGGCATTGTGATGCAGTGAGCTAAGCTGCTGCCTCTGATGCCAATGCCCCTGTGATTGTGCCAGTGTGAGGCCTGGCTGCTCTGCTTTGCATCTGGCTCCCTGCTAATGCACCTGGTAAAGCAGCGGAAGGTGGTTCAAGTTCTTGTGCATCTGCCATTCATGTAGGAGACCAGGATGGAGTTCCAGGCTCCTGGCTTTGGCCTGGACCAACCCCAGCCATTGCACAAACAGGTGGAAAGCCTCTCTCTCCTCTCTCCTCTCTCCTCTCTCTCTCTCTCTCTCTCTTTCCCTTTCAAATAATTAATTAAATCTTTTTGAGAACAAGGAAACACATGACATTAGTAGGGTAGAGAAATGGTTATAATAACACAACATACATCTGCATGAGCAGGGCTGAAATAGAAAATGGAATCAGTAATTGAAACAGAAAAAATATAGTCAGAACAAAAGGAAAGAAAATCAGACATTGGTGACATTAAGAAAGGATTTCTAAAAAAAAAAAAAGAAAAAATAATATTTAATGTTATAGTTGGGTGTTTCACTTCAAGTTTCTCATTCATTCACTCTATCACTTCTCTGGAATAAATTTTACTGTTTCCTAAAGATTTAGAAACAGCGACTCTGAATTTTTTTTCAAGATTTATTTTATTTATTTGAAAGGCAGAAATAAACAGAGAAGGGGAGAGAGAGAGAGAGAGAGAGAGAGGAGAGAGAGAGAGAGATCTACCATCTACTAGTTCACTCCCTAAATGGCCTCAATGGCCAGGGCTGGGTCAGGCAGAAATCAGGATACAGGAGCTTCTCACGTAGGTGCAGGGGTCTGAGCACTTGGGCCATCCCCTGTTGCTCTCCCAGGCACATTAGCTGGGAGCTGGATTGGAAGTGGAGCAGGAAGGACTCAAACTGGCACCCATGTGGGATGCCAGCACTATAGGCAGACACCCAACCCTCTATGTCACAGCACCAGCCCCGAGATTCTGAATTTTAAGCTGCTTGTTGACAGGCCACAGAGCTAATAGATCTAGACAAAGATTCACACCAAGCAGTCCTAAGGCAACAGTGGGGAGATCTGGACTGTAAGGATGTCAGCACACAGGAGGATAGCATTTGGAATGTCTTTCCGCTCCATAAATCTTGGGCTGCTCCGATGTTTTAATGAGTGTGTTGGACTGTATCTATAATGGCCCTTTCGTTTCTAATATTTTATGCTCTAGTGGTTTGCTAATAGACTGTAAGTTCTTGAGAGAGCACAGAAGGAATATATGAAAACCATGACTGGCATAAAAATATAACTGAGTCATATTTTTATGTGGGACAGAACAGAGGAACAAGAGGGTGCTTTAAAAGACAAACTCTGAGAAGTCGCGTTTGGAATGTGTGAGAACCCGACCGTTGCAATGGTTGGGTATTGGACTGGACAGTGCACGACTGAGAAGGGCTCCTGGGGTCTCCCTATGAAGCATAAAGCAGGTGAGGTGCTTTTGGCACACAATCCTCGAAACTGAAACCTCCCTGGTAACTGCTACATTGCGGCACTTCCTGTGTTAGCTGTTGCATTATGGTAGACAAAAGAAGGAAGAAGAGATGTGTACAGATAAGTCATTCTCTAGATAAATGTGTTTACAATCAGATGACCTAAGTTCAAGGTCCACTGGGCAGAATTTCCACAGTGTGGCTCTTAGACCTGGTGATCATTATTCAAGTGAGTTCAAATTGTGCTGTCTGGCACCTTGGACATCCAGCCTGGCAGAGTGAACAGAGCTAGGACTTGGACATAAAAATGCCTTAGCTCCAGTCCTCAGTCTACAAGTAACTGGTGGAGTGGTTCTGCATGGGGTTACTCACGGATGTATGCCTGAGTTTCCTGATTGCTAAAGTGAGGCTGGTAGTCATCTGCTTCCTATAGAACATCACACACCTTCATGGTAGCTTCTCAAAATTGTTTGATAAAAGTAGAGAAGCTTAAGAGTTCCCTTTGGGCTATTTTCACATTCATCGGCATCCACAATCTCAGTTGCTGGACTTAAAAACACACATCCTCTTTTAAATGATCAACTATTTCAAAAAATCAGTAAACGTTATTTCTTAAAACACACAAGAATAATAACAACCTTAAACTATATTGTTCAAGCTATCCACAACCCCATCTGTGGTCTGGCATGCCTTCACATACTCATTCCCTCCTTGCTCTCCATCAATCACGAAATAACTGTCTGAATGCAAATCCCTCCTTTTGCAGCACCTTGGCCTTATGTTTTTTAACTTTTATTTAATAAATATAAATTTCAAAAGTACAACTTCCCCAAAAAACCTCCCTCCCACCTGCAACCATCCCATCTCCCACTCCCTCTCCCATCCCATTCTTCATCAAGATTCATTTTCAATTATCTTTATGTACAGAAGATCAACTTAGTATATACTAAGTAAAGATTTCAACAGTTTGCACCCACACAGATGGAGTATTGTTTGAGTAGTAGTTTTACCATTAATTAGCATAGTACAACACATTAAGGACAGAGGTCCTACATGGGGAACAAGTCTACAATGACTCCCGTTGTTGATTTAACAATTGACACCATTATTTATGACAACAGTGATCACCCGAGGCTCTTGTCATGAGCTGCCAAGGCTATGGAAGCCTCCTGAGTTCACAAACTCTGACATTATTTAGACAAGGCCATAGTCAAAGTGGAAGTTCTCTCCTCCCTTCTGAGAAGGGTACCTCCTTGCTTGATTTGATCTTATGTTTAAAACACATCCCAGGTCAGTGTCCTATGAGGGTTCAGATGCAGTCACCAATGGCAAAGGATTGGCTCATCTCCCCTTTTCCAAAGTGGATCAATCGTGTCTCTGGTTTCAAACTAATCTTCTCATATTTCACTTGTAAAAAGGAAAGAAGAATTTTTTTTAGTCGGTTTGTTTGCCTGTTAGTTTTCATCGCAGATTTTTCATTGTTTACTCAGCCTTGTCTCAGAGAAAGTCCATGCGAGCTGGAATTCAACCTCAGGGCAAGGTTCACCCCCTGTTGAGACACCACACAAACAGCTGCAACCAAAGCATGTGGTTTTGAGGCTCCCTGAGCCTGGGCCCCGATCCATTTGGAGAAGTCGCTTCTTTAGCGACAGCTTTAGTGCTGATCCTGCGAGGAAACCATGGAGCCCCAAAGACAGAGGGTGAAGACAACACTGCCATTGTCCTTAGGAAGGTACCACATTTCTGAAGACTGTGGCTTTCTTCTTCCAAACCCTCTGGTAAGGAGAGAGGCTGGGGGCCAGGTCATGGTTGGCTTCTTGAGATGCCATTTGGTTTGTTGTTTGGTTTCAATTCTATGTTATTTACAGAGATGTGATACAAATACCAAGTCATTAACCCCAGAAAGATGTTAGAAGTAACATACAGTGTTGGCAGTCAACAAATGAGAAGCAACAGCTATAGCAGAGGAGCATTCAAAGGGAATGTTTTGATCAAATTTCTTTGACATATTGTCAGCCAGACCTGGAAGATTATAAGAAAACCTGCAGTGATAAAGAAAAAGATTCTGAACTTTGATAGAGATGAAAAAACAAACAGAGCCTCAGCAAAAGTAGCATGGTTCCTTCAAAGGATATTCTATGTGGAAGGTGGAGTTTCTACATGACATTGTCGATCCTTGCAATGGGCACATGTTTGTAATATAAATCCCTCTAGGGAGCTTACTCCTCCATCAGTCGAGGTCAGCACTCCTAACGTTTTGACCTGCTGCTAGGAAAAGAAAAAGAGACTATGAAGGAATATTGCGTGTTTTAAGGCTAGTCATGGAGATTAGACTGTCTCAGCAGTTTCTGAAAAGAGGTTGGAGACTTTGAGAACCAACAATACCTATTTTTAAATCTACTTGGGCTCAGTCTGTAATGCAGTTCTCAGCTAGTCCTTAGCAACACTTTTTCTCACTACATGTAGTCTCAGGCCTCCAACACTGACATTATTAGAGACAATACAAGGCATCTAGTTCTTCATGATGTTACTTTTTTTTACATCTGGGCTGGCTGAAGTCCAGAGGAAGTGACTAGCTCCAAGACATAACAGTGACAAAAGCAGAACTAAGAGTGAGAGCCCTGAGCATCTTTTTTGTATTACATCGTAAATGAGGACCAAGATCACTCAGTGTGAAAAAATCAGGGATCTGAAGTTGCTGTATTTGTAGTGACTTCTTAGAACCTCTAGCTTCCTTGCCCACTTACCTATGACTAAAGAATGACCTGGAAATCAATAAGCTTTCATTGAATATCTGTTCTGATGGTTGCTTACTTCAGAGGGTACCAGGAGGAATATAAATGAAGATAAGAACTACTCACTGCTCTCAAATATTTCTCCTAGAGAGCTATTAGTGCTGAGACCAAGTCACAGCTCAGCAAGTAACTTGAGCATTAGAAGTAGTGGCCACTGGGTGTTGTTCAGAAACGGGCTGTAGTCCAGACAATGAGCCATGTTCTCTGAGATGCAGCATGTGTTGTGCTAAACTAGGAAAGTCTTGGGCACATCAGGATGAGCCCATGCCTAATTTGCACTTTCTAGCTCCTGTGACCTTGAGTAAGTTCCAAGCATTGCCAGGTCCTTAGCTTTTGCATTTGTTGGACGGAGATTTGGTGCCAGTCCCATGAGATTGCTATGGAACTTGAATGCGAAAGCACTTTGAAAAAGCCAACAGAAGTAGGAGCTTGTGCTCCTGTCCCTCAGCCCAGCCCTTATTAAAGTCTCCCTTCTGTGTCTCGGGAGAATTCCTATCCTCCCTACTGCCCAAGAAAGAAAGGGCCTATTGGTCAGCATGTTCTTGCTGCTCTGAGATACGCGGGCTGAGCTCAGGAGAAGCAGCGTTGCAAAGCAGGTTAACCTTGGGTGGTACCACAGCGGCAGAGTTCCCTTCTTTGTTGTTCTCTTGCATCATTATGGGAAGCCCAAAGAGAAAGGCAACCTGCCTCCCTTATAGGATTTTGTGACCTTCGGGGCCAGAAATCTGTGCTGTGGTTTGGCTGGTAGAGACCCCTTAGAAGACATTTTCATTCCTGAGCTTATGGAAAACAAAACAAAACAAAACAAAAAACAAACAAACAAAAAACAAAAAACAAACTTCCCAGGCAAACTGGTCTTGTTCTTTCATAGTCATAATGTGAGACGTCTCCAAATGTCATTTTCTGTTTTGGTGTTTTTTTTTTTTTTTTCCTCTGTGGAGTGAAGATTTTAAACCTCTCTTTTCTGGGAAGCCACAGGGGAAGTATGCTGTCACTAGTATGCACCACACTCAGGAAAGACTTAGTTACTACATCAGCAGATGTCAGCACAGCCACCCATCAAGCAAACTAGGGAAAGAGCCGGAGGCGGCTCCAGGGCTCAGCCAGGTTTGGCTTGGCTTTATTTCCAGGGACAAGTGCTGGGAGGGCTGCTCCTTCAAGCTAATGAAGAAGAAAACGTGCTGGCTTTGGGGTAGGAGACTGAATGGATTTCAGATGAATCATTTCCACATTTCAATGTTTCAGTGTGCAAAATGCTTGCCTCAGATTCCCATACGTACAAATGTATCACAAGAATCCTTTGCTGGATCACGCGTCCTGTGCGTGTGTGTGTGTGTGTGCGTGCGTGTGTGTGTGTGTGTGTGAAGGGACATACTGTCTCTTTAGACATAAAGAACACAAGGAAATTATTTTGGCAAGAAAGGAGCAAGCAAGTTAGATTAGAACAGGAGATCTCCATGCCAGGCTCTGGAAATTGAATCTGACACATTTGGTAAATGAAGTAATGCAACTGGCATTTAAATGGTTTCCTCACAGGGTGATTTGGAGCATAGTAGGGACTTCTGAGAAAGCTGATGCCGGAGCCCACGCAGGTAACTCAGAAGTTCTAGCCTAACTCGCATCGCTACTGCAGAGCAGGGCAGGGGCTAGCAACAAGGCACAGGTGAGCCACGAGTGGCTACACTCTGGAGTCCAGCTGTGCAAATAGAGGTGCCCTGAGCAGGGATTGGAAGGACTTTAAATGCAGATGTAAAGGAAAACACATTTTTTACGTACCATCAGGGCCAAGGAAAGAGCAGGTTGAGATAAAATGGTCATAGGGATGTTGGGAACTGTATTCTTTCTGCAATCCAACAACCACTCAGGAAAAACACTTCTTTGGGTGTACTCCTCCAGACCTAGACAAAGCATTAGATGGAAGTGGAGGGCTCCAGCTGGTAAGAAAGAAAAATAAAAAATCCATTGTTGTGGCAGGTGATGGCTTCCAGACCTCAGGGATGGTGGGAAGAGTTCAGTCACTTCCCTGGCCTCTGTGAGACTAGGACCGGAATAGAGAAAAAGATGCCAGAATTTGTAAGAGGTCCAGGTCGTTCAATTTGTGCTTAGAAGTGGAGAATGTAGGGCATGAAAAACAGACTTTGTTGCCAGTATTAAGGAAAAACCAAGAAAGGCGGGCAAAGAGGAAATGGACAGACAGGGATAAGGAAGCTGGCATTTTGAACAATGGAGCAAACTAAAAGTTGTCTCAAGTAGACCATCTGAACTGTAAAGACACTTAAGAGAGGCGGGGAAGAGGCGAGCTACCATGGGGTGAAAACACCAGGCACAGGAAAATATCTCACAGATACTGTCAGTGAACCCGAGACTCAGACGAGTCTGTGAGGGTACTTCAAAAAGTTTGCCAAAAATGGAATTAACTCTATGCAAAAAAAAAAAAAAAAAATCCATGCATACAAAAGGATGTCAAAAACTCATGAGAATGCATATTATGAAAAACCATGCATGGATTTCAATTTTCTTTTGTATCAAAGTCAACTTAACTTTTAATTTTTCCCCACAAACTGTTTGAAGTATTGTGGTGCTAATCCCCCTGAGAAGCCATAATAAATTACCATAAGTTCAATGAGCTAAAAGAACACGAATTAATTCTCTTAGTGCTCTGGAGATCAAAAGTCTGAAATCAGTGTTTTCAAAGGTCTGCACTGCTCCCAAAGGTTATAGGGGAGAATCTTTCCCTACCTCTTCCATCTCTTTTCTTTTTTAAGATTTGTTTATTTGGTTGGTTACTTAAAAGGCAGAATGACAGAGAGAAAGGGAGTGACAGAGAGATGGTCCATCTGCAGGTTCACGCCCCAGATGTCTGCCCACAGCCAGGTCTGGGCCAGGCTGAAGCCAGGAGCCAGGGTCTCCATTCAGGTCTCCCACGTGGGTGGCGGAGGCTCAGACACCTGGGCCATCATCTATCTGCTGCCTTCTCAAGTGCATCAGCAGGAAGCTGATGGACAGTAGAGTGTCAGGGGCTCCAACCAGCGCTCTGCTATAGGATGCCCTAATTGCAAACGAGGGCTTAACCTGCTGAGCCACCATACCAGCCCCATGCTCCTTCCATCTTCTGGGGGATCCAGGAGTTTGCGGGCACTGGCAGCATCACTCCACTGTCTGCCTGCATCTTCACATGGCCTTGTCTGTGGCTATGTCTCTCCTCCCTCTGTCTGTGTCCTCTTTTATAAGGATACCTGTCGCTGGATTTTAGACCCACGATGTTTTGTCAGCAAAACTCTTTTTCCAAATGAGGTCACATTCAGTTTCCAAGTTGACATGTCTTTTTTTTTGTTGGTGGTGGTGGAGGAACAAGGATGGAGGGAGCGTCAATCAATCCATTACAGGCAGTGTGCAGAAAAGAGAGAGTCAGAGGGATGGAGGGACCTCAGCAACTATAGCTAAAGTGTTGTCTTGCCATGACATTTCCCAGCCTGACCTCACAGGCATGAGACGTAAAAAGACAATGGAAAGTGAGAATGTAAAATACAAAATGGTCAGGAAAACTATACACAGAGACAGTTGCACAATTGCCTTGGTTAGTGCTATTATTTCAAGGATTATTCTTGCGGTTATGTTTCTGCATAAAATGAATTAGGTGCCTTCCATCATCTTCTGTGCTCTGGGACAGATTATAGACCAGGTAAGAAACTCATCATATGCACTAGAGGTATTTTTTTAAAAATGTGTTTATTTATTTATTTGAAAGGCAGAGTAACAGAGAGGGAGAGATGGAGAGATCTTCCATCTGCTGGTTCACTCCCCAGTTGGCTGCAACCACCATAGCTGTGCCGATCTGAAGCCAGGAGCCAGGCGCTTCTCCCAAGTCTTCCCATGCAGGTACAGGGGCCCAAAGACTTGGACCATCTTCTACTGATTTCCCACGGCCATAGCAGAGAGCTGGATCAGAAGTGGAGCAGCTGGGTCTCGAACTGGTGCCCATATGGGATGCTGGTGCTTCAGGCCAGGGCATTAACCTGTTGCACCACAGTGCCAGCCCCACAAACCATTCATTTGATAATGAATGGGTCCAAACCTGTTTACCTTGCCTCAAGCTTTTATTTATTTATTTTTACTTTTCTACACCAGTTTTAGTTAAAACACATATGAGTCTTCCTGTAATGGCAAATAATTAAATAACGCGAAACACAAATCAGTGACTAACACAAGGGCTTTAAATATGACACAAATTTTGCTTTTAAAAAAAGAAAGAGGTAATATACAAAAAAAGGATGTGGAATCTATAAGTTGATTCCAAAAATGAAATGAGCAGAAAATCTGTGGTGAAACCGGACCATTCCAGCCCTGTGTTGGAGAAGGGCTGTCACACAGCGTTCGGTTAGCTGAGGATGGATTGGTAGAGGTGTGTCTATACATAAATTCCAGGTCCCTTTTGCTTGTGCAGAATCATCCAGCTCTTCCCAAGACTGAATGTGAGTGCTGTGGTGTCTTCCTTTTCCACATTCCCAAGAAGCCTCCATGAAGTTCAACCCTCAGTGAGCCGCTCATAGAGCCCTTAGGAGCCAACAGGACAGGTGGGTCAGATTTCCTTCTGAGAAACGAAACCGGCCACCGACAGCAAGAAAAGCAAAATGCACAAGTCCTTCTGCTCCTGCTTCTGATTACGTACAAGACGTCTCCTTTCCAGGCTAGTGTCCCTCTCACATGCGGTTCCTTCCCAAGTCTAAACCTCATCAAGTAAAGAAAATTCAATCCAGAAACAAAGGAAGCTGGAAGGTATCCAACACACCTTCCAAGCATCTCAGTATCCCTAGTGCAGCACAGGTCAACAGCTCAGTGCACCACACGGTCTATAATAGAGAAGTGACCAGCAGTTTGAGGAAGTTTATTTCTTTTTTCTTGTCTCAGCTGGTTAAAGGGCACCAAGTAAACATTGGGCAAGAAGACTTTGCTGGGAAAGTTAGAAATAAAACGTTCACCCGTTTTGGTTCCTGTGACCATTCAGTGCCAGTAAGAAGCAAGTACTAAAGAGAGGGGACAGCGTCAACACTAAGAAATAGTTCCTCTCACATGTCACCGCCTCTTGCAAAAACTCCAGGGCATCCCAGACACAGAAAATTAGTTTCAGGGGATCCCCCAAGGCTCTGTAAAGCCTTAGAAGATCACCCTTCCTTCACTATTTTTGTAACCAGAAGTTTTATTTAACCTAACCAAGGGCTAATCTGAGAGTTTACTGTTTCTCAAAGATACAGTTTAAAATATCTTTTCTCCTTTAAATTGTGTGCTATGAAGATTTTTCCAAAATCGGGCAAAAGGAGAGCTGCACACCCTTTCACTCTGAAAAATCTCACTGTAGGATGATCTAATCATCAAGAGCTGCCCATCTGCTTCCTGTACTGCTTACCATGATTCAGGCCAAAGATGTAAAGTTACAAGTGAATGTGTTGATTTTTGTACAGAAGAGCTGCAAACAATTTCTGTCGAGTAGGGAAATATAACTCCAGTACTTAACCATCTTCCTGACCTAAAGGATACTAACTGGTTCTGTTTTTAACTTAGTTGTTGCGTTTCAACATTCTTTCGCAAACCTCTGTGCAGGTTGTTTTTCAAATGCTCTTGAGAGTAACTACCTCCTGCGAATTTCAACACTAATGATCTACTTGTATGAAAATGTACTTTGTTATGGATGCCTTAGGAGAAAACAAAACGGGGCACTTGTTTTCAGAAAGAGAGGAACCCGGAAGATTTTATTATTATTTCTGTCCAATCTCCTCTGTGGGTTCTGACTTTTTTTTTTTAATAAAGTGAACACTAAAGCTCTTGAAAATTCCTGACTCTTGCAACAGACACCCTCCCTGTCCTGGCATTCTCTCGTGTTTACTCTGAGCAGGAGTTGGAATCTACCCTGAACTTTGAGGCAGAGGAGGTCAGGCCTGGCCACTAACCAGACCATGTAATCTGAGAAAATAACTCCACCTTGCTGAGCTCTCACTCCCTCTATTTCAACATGGAAATCATGAGATAATAGGAAGACAGTTTTACAATGTTACAGAAAAACAAGGCAATTAAAAGATAAGCTAATTTGGCTGCAAAACATATTTGAAATCCATGAACAATTTTTCATAGTGCACGTTTTCCATGAACTTTTTGAAGAACATTGATATGCATGAATTTCCATTTTTTTTTTTTTTGCAGCAAAATAAACTTCTTTTACTTCCATGGCCATGAAATTTTTAAAGTACTCTCCTGTGTCCTAACTCATACACACAGCAAAGGAACATGGATTCAAGATGTAAGCAGCAAAAGTAAAACAGAAAGTGAGGTTGGGTGTGGGGAGCAACTGAGACTAGACTGTTACTGGAATTAAGACTTATTCTATGCATCTGCTCTCCCACAATATGGCGCTGGGGAAGAGTAAACTTCTACGCAGCTGCCTCGCCAATTTGGCTGACGAGTGGCAGGAGCTGATCCTGCTCCTGATTGGAGGAGAGCAGCGTATTCGGCATGTGGGTAGCAGAGTTGGGATTGGTGGAAGAGGACTATAAAGGAGGAGAGAGACAACATGCACCAGGAACATCTATCTGAAGGAACACCTGTGCAGCCCCCGAGAGAGCCGGCCGGCGGTGTGCTGCTCCCCCGCGGAAGCGGGGATAGCGGCGGGGGGTGCCACCCTTCCACGGAGGTGGAGGGGTCGGCAGCTAACCTGGGACGGCGTGGTTCCTCCACGAGTGAGGGACCGGCAGCTAACCCGGGAAGAGCCGAGCAGACAAAAGAACAGCACAGGGTTTGGTGTCGTTCCTCCGCGAATGGGGGAGCGACAGTTGAGAAGGGAAAAACTTTCTGAGTGGGACTTAAAATTCAAGAGCATGCATGAAAGACAGATTCATTTTACTACTCTGTTATGAATGACTATTACACACACACACATACACACACACACACAATGGCCAAAGCATAGGACAAGATTCTGAAGCTCAGTAACAGAGAGCTATAGATGTGAAGAATGAAATAACAGCACAGTGGGAACTAAATGTCTCTAAGACCACATAGCAACCCTCAAGGCTTCGCACTACAAGATGGGAGTAAGAACTTGAACTCTTATTTTCTACTTGATAAACTCCCTGTTTTTAGCATGTCCTGGCACAGACATTGACTGCATTTTTTTAAATCATCGTTTCTGAGAAAGTGTATTTCTGGGAGGATAACTGCAAAATGTTCACTAAATATTAGAATGACAAATGAGTAAAATAACTGAATTTTCCTGCAAAGAATGAAATGCACATCATATCTTGACAACATCACAAATCAAAAAAGATGCTGTCGTGGCCGGCGCCGCGGCTCACTAGGCTAATCCTCCGCCTTGCGGTGCCGGCACACCGGTTCTAGTCCTGGTTGGGGCGCTGGATTCTGTCCCGGTTGCCCCTCTTCCAGGCCAGCTCTCTGCTGTGGCCCAGGAGTGCAGTGGAGGATGGCCCAAGTGCTTGGGCCCTGCACCCGCATGGGAGACCAGGAGAAGCACCTGGCTCCTGCCTTCGGATCGGCGCAGCGCACCAGCCATAGTGGCTATTTGGGGGGTGAACCAAGGGAAGGAAGACCTTTCTCTGTCTCTCTCTCTCACTGTCTAACTCTGCCTGTCAAAAAAAGAAAAAAAAAAAAAGATGCTGTCGGAAGAACGGATGAACTGCCACTCCAATTGTGTGTCAGGCTACCAATGTGGTTAGAAATTGATGCAGTGTTTCTGTAAGGGACTCAGAAGTGGCTTCCAACTTTTGAAATCTGTAACCCAGGAATCACCTTCAGAAGTTTGTGTTAAGGAAATTATCAGAAAATAGCTCAAATAGTTGTATAAGAATGACTGTTTCAGGTTTGATAACAGTGAAAAAGATAAGCAATTACTAATAGGCACAACTGAAATACTGGGCAGGTTTTTTTTTTAAAGGTTTATTTATTTGAAAGTCAGAGTTACACAGAGAGAGGAGAGGCAGAGAGAGAGAGGTCTTCCATCCGATGGCTCACTCCCCAGTTGGCCACAACAGTCCGAGCTGCGCTGATCTGAAGCCAGGAGCCAGGAGCTTTTTCCGGGTCTCCCATGTGGGTGCAGGGGCCCAAGCACTCGGGCCATCTTCTACTGCTGTCCCAGGCCATAGCAGAGAACTGGATCAGAAGTGGAGCAGCCGGGACTTGAACTGGCACCCATTTAAGATGCTGGCACTGCAGGCAGTGGCTTTACCGACTACACTACAGCGCCAGCCCCTACCATGCAGGTTTTACAACAGATGTGATAGCTGGGTGAAAAATACCCAAAGGAATGTTGTGCAGTGAAAAACTCATCACTTGATCCTGTCTCCTACACTGCAACTTAAAGATCTTAAACAATCTGGCAGCAAACAGTAATTTACACCATTCAGTATTTCCCTCAGTCCCAGGAGGAAGGACAAGGGCAGCATGCATCTTACACACATCTTGAGCAATCTTTACAATTCTTTCTCCCCTGCTTGATGTCTTGCAAGGTTTGTCTCCACATCACTGGTGTTCACCTTTTGGGTGTGAAAGAACCCAGTGGGAGGCCTGAGAAAATACAGACTGCTGGACTCCACCTTGGAGTTTTGGGTGCAGTAGATCTGAGGTGTGGCCCAAGAGTGCGCATTTCTAACAAGTTTTCAAGAGAGGCTGCTGCTGCTGACTGGGCCCCCCACTTTAGGAGCCCAGAGGGACTCAACACGCATGATTGTCTTGCTCTGGGTGATGAAGTTCCAACACTAGCACATCTTTGAAAAGGAAGGGTATGGGGGTTGGCGCTGTGGTGTAGTGGATAAAGCCACTGCCTGCCACACCAGCACTCCATATGGGCACAGGTTCAAGTCCCCACTGCTCCACTTCCAATGCAACTTCCTGCTAATGATCTGGGAAAGCAGCAGATGATGGCCCAAGTCCTTGGGCCCCTGTGTGTACATGGGAGACCTGGAGGAAGCTCCTGGCTCCTGGCTTCAGCCTGGCTCAGTCCTGACCATTGTGGCCATTTGGGGAGTGAACCAGCAGATGGAATAGGTCTCTCTCTCTGCCTCTGTCCTTGCCCCTGCCCCTCCTTCTTCTAGCTCTGACTTTCAAATTAATAAATCTTTAAAAAAAAAAAAAGAAGGAAGGAAATAAAAAGAAGGGGCTGGAATTAAGGAGGAAGAGAGGCTGGCGTTGTGGGGCAGGAGCTGAGCCACTGCCCGTGACACCCACATCCTGTGAGTGAGTGCCTCTGGGAGCCTGGCTGATCCACATCTGACCCAGCTCCCTGTTAAGGGAAAGCATCAGAAGATGCACAGAGTGCTAGGGCCCCTGCCACCCATGTGGGACACCCTCTCCTCAGCCTGGCGCAGCCCCCGGCCACTGCAGCCATTTGGAGAGTGCAGCAGATGGAAGATCTCTCCATGCCACTCTGCCTTTCAAATAACTTTTTTTTAAATGAAAAAAGAGAAACTTTCCTCTGAAGATCTAACGGAATAGAAAAGGTGGATATTAAATAACAGAGTGAAGCCTAAATGGAGGCACGGTGGAATATTTCAGAATTTCCCTGCTAGGCAGGAGGCAGAACCCCTGGGGGTTTCCATGGACTTTCAGAAGGTGATTCCCTGTCCAGCATGAAAGTATGGGGCTGGTCATTTCAGCCAAGCTTCTTTGCTTGAAGCCCACTTTAAAGGGCCCTTCTGGACACCGTGAGCCTGCATCCTTGGTTTTCTTGCAGAATTAATTTTAAGTATTCTATTCCATCATTTCTGCAACTGCCTTCAATTTCTGCTCATCGCACAGAAAAGCACCACACAGAGCAGAAGCAAGCTGCCAGTTCGTGGTCAGCGTGCCATAAATCTCTCCGGTACCCTCTTGGGGCATTCTCTCTCTGTTTCCATTCCATAACTTCCCACACTGGTATCACTTTAGTCCTCGCTTCTTTCTGTTCTGCATCTACAGGTGAAATTCATGGGAGAAAATGACACCATCGTGTTGCTACACTTGTTTCTCCCTGCATCCCCAACCCCCCCCCAGAAGCTGAGGGGCTGCATGATGCACACACGGGGACACCGTGACGACATTTCTTTCCAATGAACACTCACATCTGTCATGAAAATAAAGACATCATATTCTGTGTGATTTGAAAGTGACAGGTGCCCTGTTGGACCTGAACTGATGGAGGGTCAAAGACAGAAAGGGGGAGAGTAAATGAAACCCCTGCTTTTCAGCGGGTGCAGCTAGGATTGGATGCAGCCCTGCAGTGGACCCGTGAAGAGCCTGAGTCCAAGTTTCTTTGAGATTGTGAGATTGAGAGGCCCTGCAGCAATTCAGTGTCACCTGCAGGAATTATATGTCAGTTACGCATCACTGCAGATCTTCTCCTTCTACCATTGCGGGCTCTTCCTCTCCTCCCTTCCTCTTCCATGACCTCTGCCTCTGACCACGCACCCTCTGCTGTGTGCTCAGTCTCTCCCTCTTGCCCTATCAGGTTGTAAACTGCCCCCAGGGTTCACACTCTTAAAAGGAGGTCACCCTCAAACACAACTCCCTCCTGTCCTCTTTGTTAGTGTCACTCCTAAAAATGTAATCTCTATTTTCTTACTTTCTCAGTCAAATTTGAATCCTGCTTCATTCCTAGGTCATGAGTGCAAAGAAATGAACACATATTGGCAACTTCCTAATTTCTGTCTCTTTGGTCTTCTAATGCAATCTTATTTACGCTTTCCAGTGATGCAACTGACCTCTGACAACTCTCAGCTTCCGTGGAGCCCTCTCATGACTTCCACAGAATCATTCTAGTACAGCTCAAGCAACTTTTATAACCATCATTTTTCCTGCATCAGTGGATTCAGTTCCCCTACATGCCTAGTGAACATCCCTCTGTGTTAATCTAAGCTTTCTTCCCATTTCATTTTGCACATTCTTCTGAATGATGGCATATACACTCTGATTTTGACCACAATGCGGGGTTTTTACTTAAGTTCCACTTCCCCGTTGTGTATTTTTTTTTTTTTTTTTTTTTTTTTTTTTTTTTTGCTGGTTGAAAGGCAGAGTGACAAAGAATGAAAGACAGAGAAAGAAAGAGATTTTCCATCAGCTGTTTTACTCCCCAAAAGGCCACTTTAGCAGGGGCTGGGCCAGGCCAAAGCCAGGAACTCTGAAGTCCATCCAGGTCTCCCATGCAGGTGCAATGGACCAAACATTTGCATCGTCTTCTGCTGTTTTCCCAGGCGCATTAGCAAGGATCTGGATCGGAAGAAGAGCAACCCGGGATTCAAATCGCTACTTGGATATGAGATCAAAGTGTCACAAGTGATGACTTCAGCATACACTGATCCCAATTGTGTATTTCTAATGGGACTTTTCTCCTGAATTTCAAACTGCACGTTCAAATGCTCAGTGGATAGATTTAGTTTCACAGACATTTTAAGCCCAATATATTTTTAAATAAATTCACTATTTTTCTAAAGTCCACTCTCGACCTGCACCTGAATTTCTGTTTTAATCTGGGTTCCCACCCACTCATTGAATCACCTAATTCATGAACATAGAAAGCATTTCACCTGTGATTATTAACTCAAAGACATGACAATCAGTCACACAGGTTGTACACTGAGAAAAGACAACAGACAGGGATTGGCAAGTGCTTTCTGATGGGCTGAATAGTAAGGTTGTGAAGGTTTGCCTTTCATTCAGGTTCTCGTGCGTCTTCCCAATCTACTGCTGCCATGGAAAAGCCGCCACAGGCAATATGGAAATAAATGAGAGTGACTGACTGAGACCCAGAAGAAAACAAAAACAAACAAGCAAACAAAACATATTCGCTCAAACAGACGGAGCGTGCTACCTCCCAGGTTAGAGTTAGGGTCACCGAAATCCAGGTTAAGTTCTAATTGGCTAAACCATGGGCCCAAGGTGGGCACAAAAGTGGTACTGCCCTTGTGCGAGACCTGGAAGAAGCTCCTGGCTCCTGGCTTCAGATTGGTATAGCTCCAGCTGTTGTGGTCATCTGGGGAGTGAACCAGGGGATGGAAGATCTCTTTCTCTCTCTGTCTGTCTCTACCTCTCTGTGTAACTCTGTCTTTCAAATAAATAAAAAAAAAATCTTAAAAAAAATGTGATGCTGTTTGGCCTGGAAATCTTTCTCTAGGCCCTGTCTCTAAGTTCCATCAACATTACCAGTTCCATTTTATTTTCCAAACGTATCTTGATAACATGCTTTCTCCTTTCCACATTCACAGCCATTATCTTTGTTTATTCCTTCAACAGCATTTCAAAGGCTTCTTTCCCCTTTTCTCTTTCTATCCTAAATCCCTACAAGCTTCTCTTTCTAAAATCCTCAACAAACCATGTCACCAAGTTTTGTGAAAGGAAAACCCTCATGTCTTCTACAGAAAGCACTCTGCAGAACGTTCTAGATTTATCTTGCACTATCCCTTCTCTGGAGATTTGGGCTTTAGCAACAATGAGTCATTCAGTCTGGAGAGACACACACTGCTGTCCTCTCCGCCATTCCTCTCTAACCTTTTCCAGTTTCCATCTGAACTCGTCATCTCCACACACCAAGTTTGGTTTCGATGTCATAGTTCTGTAAGTCGTTCCCCACACAGCTGACAAAATCACCAAGGCACTTCCTCTTTCCTGACAAGTTCTTGAGATTGCACACACTAAGATTGCAGCAGTCAAACATATGAGGCCCTACCAGGATACCTCTGATTGCGTTCACTTCTTCCTTACTACACACACCATTTGCTTCTTAAAGACAAGGAGTGTGTAGGCAGAATTCCAGTAAAACGAATCCACATTAATAAGCCTGAGAGAGACCAGTGTTGTGGCACAGCGGGTTAAGCTGCCGTTTGTAACAGCCACATCCCATACCGAATGCTGGTTGGAGTCCCAGCTGCTCTGCTTCTGATCCAGCTCCCTGTTAATTTCCTGGGAAAGCAGGAGACGATGGCCCAAGATACCCAGATGGAGTTCCAAGCTTCTGGCTTCTGCCTGGCCCCAGCCTGGCTGCTATAACCATGTGCAGAGTTAATCAATGAATAGATGAAAGATAACGCTCTTTCTCTTCCTATCTGTCACTCTGCATTTCAAATAAATAACTAAATCTTTTAAAAAGTAAAGGTTTTTTTTTTTTTAAACATTTATCTATGTACTTCAAAGTCAAGAGTTATAGAGAGAGAGAGGGAGATGGAGGGGGAGGCCTTGCATTTGCTGGTGCACTCCCCAGATGCCTGCAACAGCCAGCACTGGGCCCGGCGAGGGCCAGGATCCAGGAGCTTCATCAGGATCGGAAAGAAGGAAGGAAGGAAGGAAGGAAGGAAGGAAGGAAGGAAGGAAGGAAGGAAGGAAGAGAGAGAGAGAGAGAGAGAGAGAGAGAGAGAGAGAGAAAGAAAGAAAGAAAGAAAGAAAGAAAGAAAGAAAGAAAGAAAGAAAGAAAAGAAAAGTTAGAAAAGAAAGAAAAGAAGTGCGTATCTGTCATTTGTGTACCTGCGGCGTCTGGTCCAGGTGCAGGCAATGTTTCTTGAACTGAACTGAACTGAACTGACTTGAATTCTCCTTAAGACTAAAACTAGGGGACCAGTGTTGTGGCGTAACAGGCTAAGCTGCCACCTACCATAATCCTATATGGGCGCTGGTTGGAGTCCTGGCTGCTTCACTAACTGACCCAGCTCTCTGCTAATGTACTTGGGAAAGCAATGGCAGAAGGTCTAAGTCCTTGGGCCCCTGCACCCACATGGCAGGCCCACATGAAGCTCCTGGCTCCTGGCTTCAGCTTGGCCTAGCCCCAGCCACTGAGCTGTTTGGGGAGTGAACCAGTGGATGGAAGCACCTCTCTTCTCCCTCTCTCTCTCTCTCTCTCCTCCCACCTCTGTAACTCTGACTTTTCAAATAAATAAATAAATAAATAAATCTAAAAACAAAAAAAGACTGAAATCTGAAAGCAGCTTTTCTTCAGTTTTAACACATGGACACATTTCTATTTTGTGTGCAGAAAGAACTTCCAGATCTTTATAGGCCGTGGATGGAAATCGCCAACAAGCTTGCACACTTAATTGAGAGTCACCAGCTTCGAGCTCACGTGAACAAGGTAAGCATGTTTTACCCTTGTCTTTACCCCAGTCTCACCATCTTATTATCATGCCTAATGCTACTTTTCCTTTTTTTAAGATTTATTTATTTATTTGCAAGACAGAGTCACACATAGAGAGAGGAGGGGCAGAGAGAGAAAGAGAGAGAGAGAGAGAGAGAGAGAGGTTTTCCAACTGATGGCTCACTCCTCAATTGGCCACAACGGTTGGAACTGTGCTGATCTGAAGCCAGGAGCCAGGAGCTTCTTCCGCGTCTCCCACACGGGTGCAGGGGCCCAAGGACCTGGGCCATCTTCTACTGCTTTCCCAGGCCATAGCAGAGAGCTGGGTCGGAAGTGGAGCAGCTGGGTCTCGAACCAGTGCCCATATGGGATGGAGGCACTGCAGGCGGCGGCTTAACCCGCTATGCCACAGTCGCACTATTTTCTTTCGTAGCCTTGGTGCAGCCAGGTCAGTCAACCCAGGAATCTGTCATTGTCATGGAGCTTGTCAACAAAGCTAGCTCATTTCTTCCTGGAGAGCAACATGACTTCTTCCTGACCACGAGTTTTCCAAGAGTTCCCAGAGGACGCACAAACAATACCTGGAACATATTAAGCACTCGGCCAATGATTGTTGGAACAAGAATCTGGCTGGACAGTTTATTCAAGCTCCTGGCGAAGGCGTGGCTTGGGAAGGCCCAGCACACAAGTTCTCAGGGTCCTCATTCCATGTCACTCTGTCTGTGCTCTGCGCCTTAGTGGGTTCTATCCTGGGTGTGATAGTAGGGGTGAATTGAGAGAACTTCCAGGTGACAAAGACAGGGCTGGCTGCGGACTCTGTAGAAACAATTGAGAGTTTTTACACTTGATCTTAAACAAAAGGCTGAGAAGGGATAAAAATTGATAGTTTTTGATGCCACTTAAGTTTTCATATATATTTATGTATACGAACAACATATAAGATGAGCAATTTTTCCCTATAGTATATAGGAACAATGATAGTTCCTGGCCTCCCAAAACTGCCATTATCTCACAAGATATAAGAGAGTGGAAGGCCCAGAATGTAAATTTTGATTCATGAAGCCCTGGTGTGTATCTTGTTGCTATGTTGGAAGAGTTCCTTTGTTCTGTAATCCCACTTCCTTATTTACAAAATGAGAAAAACTCCTGGTCCTATTATGAGCACTGATATAGAACAACGCCGAGACTGGTTAGAGGAGTTGCTGTAGAACTCCCTAAACGGAGTCCGCCCACCTGCAAGGTGCAGAGCAAGGAGCTGGGCAGCGATCACTGGTGCTTGGCAGGTGCACGCTCAGTACATGCCCACGTCCCTGCTACCTGGTGGGGCTCTTGGCTTAGACTGGTCAGCAATATACTGTGTTCTGTAGGGAATTTTGATGACGGCACAGTGGGCTTCAGTCAGTCTGGGAGCCACGTGGAAGTAAAATGACTCTTGAGATGGCCCTTTCCTATCTCTTGCCGCAGAATAATATTCAACAGATGTTGACTGCTCCTCTCCATTCTCTTCTCTGACCATCTTAATCGTATTAGTTTGTGGTGCCACATGATTTTAGGGATACAAGCGAAGTTTCCCACCTTTGAGGACAGACTCATCTCCCATGTCTGTAATTACAAGTTCTCTTGAAAAATGCTCCCTGGGGGCTGGCGCTGTGGCACAGTGGGTAAACGCTGCCTCTGCAATGCCGGCATCTCATATGGGTGCCGGTTCAAGTCCCGAATGCTCCACTTCCGATCCAGCTCTCTGCTGTGGCCTAGGAAAGCAGTAGAAAGTGGCCCAAGTCCTTGGGCCCCTGTACCCACGTGGGAGACCCAGAAGAAGCTCCTGGCTCCTGGCTTCGGATCGGCGCAGCTCCGGCCACTAGGAAGTGAACCAGTGGATGGAAGACCTCTCTCTCTCTCTCTTCCTGTCTCTCTGTTTAAATCTGACTTTCAAATAAATAAATAAATCTTTAAAAAAAATATGCTCCCTGAACATTTGCTCTGTGCAGAGCACACGATTAAAACCCTGTCAAAGAAGAGTGGGAGACGATCTATGAAGATGTCTACGAAGATGACAAATGAAACCTAGGCATTGTTGCAAGACCTAATCAAAGAAATGCAAAAAGAAGCAGAAGAAATAGAACCTATGGATAAGTTTAGGAAAACTAAGGAAAGTGCTGGCAATGGAATAAAAACGTTAGTAAAACAAAGTGAGTACCCACAAATATGTCTATTCCAGCCATTCAACCAAAGGAAAAAGACACCTTCCCCGTAACCCCTCCTCCCCACATCAGCCCAGCAGAGACGGGAAGCTGGGATTGCCGGGGCAGTTGGCAGGAGGGCCTGCCAGAATTCAGCATGTGAGCCTGGTGGCCCTGTGCCTGCTCTGCCTGGGCTTCAGCTGGTTAAGCTGCCATAGGGGAAAGGAAGGGCTTGTTAAATCGGAGCTTCTCGCAGCACGGCACGGAACTCAACCCTGGACAGTTGCAGTGGGGTCAGCAGAGTCTCCCCGCCGTTCACGTCCACGTAGAACTCGTGAGGGTGATTTTCTCTGGAGAGGAGGTGTTTGCAGTGGACAAGCTGAGGTCATAGTGAATTTCAGCACAACCTGAAGTCCAGTTTGACTGTGTGCTGATACAGAGGGAGACTTGGACATACACACTTTGGCATGTGGAGGCCAAAGCAGAGGTTGGAGTGCAGCATCTGCAGGCTAAGGTACACCAGGGACTGCTGGACACCAGACCCTGGGAGAGATGTGGGACAGACTGTCCCCAAGATTGAGCCTCTAGAAGAAATAAGCCTTCCTGATTGCTTGACTTTGGCCTTCATCTTCCATCACTGTGAGAGTGAACTTCTGCTGTTTTAAGCCATTTGGTTTATTTGTTAAGGCCGTCTAGGAAATTAATACAACACGCTTGCCCTCTCTCCCTACTTCTAAACATCAAACAAGGGGCTAGCATTGTGACACAGGGAGTTAAGCCACTGCCTGTGACTCTGGCATCCATAAAAGTGTGGGTTAAGTCCAGGTTGCTCCACATGAGTGCTGGGGGCTGAGGGTGGGGGGAGTCCCTGCTGCTGTACTTCCTACCCCGCTCCCTGCTAATGTGCCTGGAAAAGCGGCAGAAGATGCTTGGGCCCCTGCAATGTATGGGTGGAGGTCCAGGCTCCTGGCTTCGGCCTTGCCCAGCCCCTGCCATCCTGGCCTTTTGGAGAGTGACCATAAAATGAAAAACCTCTCTCACTCTCTCTCCCTTACCCCCTCTCTTTCTCTGTATTCCCCGACACCCATAACTCTGCCTTTCAAATAAATAAATCAATTGCTTTCACAAGTTAAGTGAGCATTGGCATTTTTTCTTTAAATAGGAGGATTTTTTTTTGACAGGCAGAGTTAGACAGAGAGAGAGAGAGACAGAGAGAAAGGTCTTCCTTCTGTTGGTTCACCCCACCAAATGGCCGCCATGGCTGGTGCGCTGCGGCTGACGCGCTGCGCTGATCCGAAGCCAGGAGCCAGGTGCTTCCTACTGGTCTCCCATGCAGGTGCAGGGCCCAAGGACCTGGGCCATCCTCTGCTGCCCTCCTGGGCCACAGCAGAGATCTGGGCTGGAAGAGGAGCAACCGGGACAGAATCCGGCGCCCCAGCTGGCACTAGAACCTGGGATACCGGTGCCTCAGGTGGAGGATTAGCCTAGTGAGCCACGGTGTCTGCCAAGAATTTTTTTAAGTTTAAAAAAAAAAAAAAGATTTATTTATTTGAAAGGCAGAGTTACAGAGAGACAGAGACAGAGACAGAGACAGAAAGAGAGATCTTCCATCTGCTGATTCACTCCCCAGATGGCTGGGTCTCCCACGTGGGTGCAGGGGCCCAAGCACTTGGGTCATCTGTTGCTTTTCCCAGGCCATAAGCAGAGAGGATCAGAAGAGGAGCAGCTGGGATTTGAACTGGTGCCCATAAGGGATGCCAGTGTCGAAGGTGGCAGTTTTACCCACTACACCACAATGCCAGCCCTGGGAACCTTTTTCTAAGAAAGAGCCATTTGGATGTTTGGTTGCACAAAATTATCAGCTTAACACTTAGCCTGCTATAGGTCTGTTGGATTTCTAGGCCAGCCAGTGATTGCCGTAATAACTGAATCCCCACATGGCTCAACAGCTTCCTCAAAACCACGGCACCTCTCTCATCCTGAGACCAGAATCTGCCAAGAATCACTGAGGAACATAAGCCTTGAGCTGGTGCTGTCGCAATAGGATGGAGACTCACACATTCATGTCTTTCGTTTTTAGTCCCATCTCATTTACAAAAAAAAAAAAAAAAAAAAAAGATTCTTAACACCCCGTCTTAAGGGAAGAATAGTGGTCTGCTTTTTTCAGCAGCCCCACAGTTACCAGCTGGCTCGGGAATCAAACGTGATCGATTTTGTGCTCACGGACTTTAAAACAAAGTATGAATAACAACTCTGTGATAATGTGTATGACTAATCCAACTAATGCTCAGAGGATGCTCAAAATAAATTATTAGGAAGCAAACGATTGGGCTGGCACTGCGGCACAGCGGGTAAAGCCACCACCTGTGGTGCCGGCTTCCTATATGGGCGCCGGCTCGAGTCATGGCTGCTCCTCTTCTGATCCAGCTCCCTGCTGATGGCCCGGGAAAGAAGCAGAAGATGGCTCAAGTGCCTGGGCCCCTGCATCCATGTGGGAGACCCGGAGAATCTCCTGACTCCTGGATTAGGCCTGACTGAACACCAACCTTTGTAGCCAGCTGGAGAATGAACCAGCAGATAGAAGATCTCTCTCTGTAACTTTAATTTTAACTTTTAGATTTATTTTATTTATTTGAAAGACAGAGTTACAGAGAGAGGTAGAGACAGAGAGAGAGGTAGGTCTTCCATCCGCTGGTTCACTCCCCAGATGGCTGCAACGGCCGGAGCTGCACTGACCCTAAGCCAGGAGCCAGGAGCTTCTTCCGGGTCTCCCACGTGGGTGCAGGGACCCAAGGACTTGGGCCATCTTGTACTGCTTTCCCAGGCCACAGCAGAGAGCTGGATGGGAAGAGGAGCAGCTGGGACTGGAACCAGTGCTCATATGGGATGCCGGCACTTCAGGCCAGGGTGTTAACCCGCCGGCCCATTAATTTTCAAATAAATAAATAAACCTTTTTTCCAAAGACAAATAAGCGACAGTAAAATTTATGGCCTTTATATCAAAGATTAAGATTCATTAACACAAAACGTGTTCCACCAAATCAATAGTATGATCAAACAGGAAAAGAAGGGCAAAGGATAGAGATAGTTAAGTTACAAAAAGAGATATTTAAATTGGTGATAAACATACAAAAACACTCGATCTTAGCAACACACCACAAATACAGATGTAAAGGGTGAAATTTAAATTTGGCTATCAGTTGGCAAGGAGTGAAAAGTGAGCATCAGGGTTGCATTAATGAGGATGCAGACGTGGACAGCGTGAGTTGAAGGCAGAAAACAAAGCAGCAGAACCTCTCTGCCGTGCAAGTGTTACAACGTCCACTACAACTAAAGATTCACATGCCCTGATCCAGCTATTCCAGTTTTCTTAATTTACCGTGCGGATTCGCCTGCTCAGAAGGGCAAAGATGAGGAAGCCAGGCTGTTTATTGCAGTAATTGGTGTAGCAAAATAAACAGGAAAGAAAGCTCTAAAAATCCCCTAAATTTCAGTTAATAATTAGACCTGCTAAACAAACGAAAACGATCCGTCTATTGACAATGTGTGTGTCTGTTTCTTTATCTAGCATTTCCATCCAGTTTACTGAAAACAGTAACAATATGAAATACACATGATGTACACACTTTATGAATGTTTATTATAATGCTATATATTCAATGTGTTTGATGATTGGACAATTATTTAAAATTTGTGAGTATTTTTGTAGATAGATAACTGTAGACACTCAACTTCTAATGATGATTACATGGAAAGGGGGTGTCTGGTCTTAGAGAAGCCACTTTGTACTTACAAAGTGTTAGATGGACAGATACATATCTGTATTTGATACTTTTACAGAGACCTATTATTATTTTTGACAGATAGAGTTAAACAGTGAGAGAGAGAGAGAGAGAGAGAGAGAAAGGTCTTCCTTCCTTAGTTCACTCCCCAAATCGCCGCTAAGGCTGGAGCTACACCTATCTGACTACACCGATCTGAAGCCAGGAGCCAGGTGCTTCTCCTGGTCTCCCATGTGGGTGCAGGAGCCCAAGCACTTGGGCCATCCTCCACTGCCTTCCCGGGCCACAGCAGAGAGCTGGCTTGGAAGAGGGGCAACTGGGACTAGAACCCGGTGCCCATACGGGATGCCGGCGCTGAGGGCGGAGGATTAACCAAGTAAGCCGCGGCGCCAGCCCCGAGACCTATTACCTTAATAACTTAAGAACGAAAGCACTCTAGGAGGCATTGTACTTCTCTGGAGGGTCAATCTGGCCAATAAAAGCAGGTGACTGGCAGGCCTTGCAAATGCCATAACCCGCACCGTGAAATAACGTGCCTGTTGACTGCTGTGCAATGCACAAAGTGCTTTATGGCTAGATGAAACTAAGCAAACCTGTTTCTGTGAAGTCTGTACTTTCTATCTGATGATGAAGCGATATGATATCTAGTCAGTTACCTTAGCTGAGGGCAACAGCAGGACCACAACTCTCTCCCTCTTTCTCCTTTGCGCAGGGAAAAACAAAGTTCCACTACACGTGTTTTTCTCCATTTTTTGATCCTTTTAGGTTTTATTTTTTTTTTTTAAAATTTTGTGTAGCAGGGAGAGACTCTAGAATGAGCCAGAAGTTTCCAGAAAAAAAAACATGTCTCTGTAATCACAAGAAACATTCTCAACTTGGACTTCATTCTCTACTTGCAGGCTGCACTGTGGGTAGCCCTTAAAATGGGCCTGGGGCAAGCCAGGCACTGATCAGATTGTGGACATTTTGCAAAAGTGACTACGAAACACCTTAATGATTTTCTATTGACTTAGTGTTGAGAATATTTTTGATATATTGATTATGATAAAATATGAGTGTGTTGTTTTTAAAACTAATTCTACATGTTTTCCACTTTTTGAAATTTGTAGCTGTCAGAAAACATGAAATAAAACTATTGCATCTACTTCTATGGCATAGAATGGAATAGAATAGAAAATGGAATAGAATAGAACAGTCGAATAGAATACAATAGAATATAGAATAGAATACAGTGGAGAACAGAATACAAGAGAGAATTGAATGGAATGAAATGGAGAGAATAGAATAGAACAGAACAGAATAGAAAATAGGATAAAATAGTATAGACTAGAATAGAGAACAGAACAGAGTAGAATAGTACAGAATAGAATACAATGGAATAGAATATAGACTAGAATAGAAACTAGAATAGAATATATGGAATGGAACAGAATAGAAAAGAGTAGAATAGAATATAGAATGGAATAGATAGAATGACAGAATAGATAGGATAGGATATAATGGAAAAACGTTTAGGCTAGAACAGAATACAGGATTAAATAGAATAGAATGTAATGGAATAGAGAATAGAATATATTATAGACTAGAACAGACAACAGACTAGAATAGAATATATTACAGAATATATTACAGTTCTATATATTGTAGAACAGAGTAGAATATAGAATTTAATAGAAAATATTATAGAATAGACTACAAAATAGAATAGGGGACTAGAATAGACTAGAATGGAATATATTATAGAATAGGATAGATTATAGAATATAATGTAGAATAGAACAGAGAATAGAATAGAATGGAATACAGAATAGAATATATTATAGAATAAAATGGAGTAAAGAATAGAATGGAATAATAACAGAATAGAATGGAACAGAATAAATTCTAGAATACAATAGAACATATCCTAGAACAGATTATAAAATAGGATAGACTAGATTATAGAATACAGAATAGAACAGAATGGAATATATTATAGAATAACATAATGGAATATATTATAGAATGAATAAAATATAGAATAGAATGGAAGATATTATAGAATAAAATAAAGAATAGAACAGAGAACAGAATAGACTATATTAGAGACTACGGAATAGAACACAATAGGGAATGGAACAGAAGAGAGAAGGGAATGCATTATAAAGTGGAAAAGACTAGATAACAAAACACGTGCCCGCTCCCAGTCCCGCGAACCGCGGCGGCGCCCCCTGGCGGCAGGCAGGGGAAGCGCTCGCGCGCGACGGCGGCCCTTGGAGAGCGCGGAGGTGGCCGAGCACACCTGCGGCCCGGACAGGGCAGCTTTGGCGGGGCAGCCACCCGCAACCGTCCCCTGGGCGCCGCGGGAGGGGGAGGTCCCTGACTTCCTCGCACCGGGGAGCCCACCCCCTCTAAGGACCCTGGGGACCCCCTCTCCCAACAGATGCCCCTGCTGAGCTGCGCGCTCCTGAGGACGTACCGGGAGCAGCGCCTGGCGCACCTGGTCCTGGGTTTCCTGAGCATGGGGTACGTGTGGCAGGAAGGCGACGCGCACCCCCAGAAGGTAAGGGCTGACGTGGGTGGGCCCCCAGGCCCACGAGAAGGCGCTGCCCTGCGTGCTTCGTGTTGGGTGTGCTTGGGCGAAGGCAGAGGGCCCCTTGCCCTGAGGGGTTCCTCGTTCCCACTAGGAAGCCAATGTTGTCAGCTGCCAATCATCCCTCCCTTTGGTCAGGGTTGGATCTGTATTCTCGCTGTCATTCTCTTCCTAGCATGTCTGAAGAGCTGCCTGGAAAGATAGATGCTGCGGTGAAAAAAAAAAATTACAGTACTTTTGGACTCCGTGCGTGTCACTTGTTCGGGTCGCTTATCGTAAAGCCGATAGGACTGCATTTGGCCGCTCTGCGGATGGCAGAACTTAATGCCTTGGCATGTTAAGGCAAATGAATGGAAAAGCCAAGATCTAGAATCCAGCCCTTCTCGCCCTATTAACGGAGCTTTCTCTGCTCAGAAGCACACACTGGCGTTTACAACATGCATTAAATATATATTATATATAATATATAATATATTGTATATTAAAATATATATATATATATACACACTGCTTTTCATGTATAACACCAGCTTGGCAGGTCGTTGAGATCTCTTCTTATCTCTGCATAACGTTTTTAACAGTTTTGATCTGCGCCTTGGGTCCAGCAGACTTCTACCTCCGACGCCGTGTACTTTTCCTAGGTGTCCCTTTCCCGTAAACCGGGGTGTGACCGGTTGGAGAGCACAGGGCGTGTTTCCAGCATCAGTGTTCCCTTGTGTCCTTCTGGCCAACGTGTGGGATTGTAGGAAAAGGAAAGTACAGCACTGGCTTGGATGTTTCGTGTGTCGTTCCTGCCACCTGTTTCTTGCAAGCTGTGCGTCAGGTGTTAGGAAGTTGAGGTCTGGCTACAGGACAGAACATCCCAGGGGGCGCCCGTGTGCCATCGGCTCTCCAAACCATGATCTAGAGCAAAGGGGAGGAAGTGTCCAGCTTCCTTCTAGCTGTGTCCGTGCAGTTCTAGACTGCCCAGGGGGGCTCCTCACCTGTGGACCCTGCCCCCTTCCCCCATCTCCAGATTTAGACTGTCTGTCACGTTTTCTCCCTCCCACCCCCGTGCCTGCCTTTGCAGGAGAGTTTGTCTCACGTTCAAACTTGAAACCTCTTTAAAGCTCTTGTTTTTTCAACTAAAAGTCTAAGGGAAAGCAAAGACAGACACAGGGAGTCCTGCGTAGGTGTTTCTCTCTCCAGGGGACATGAAAATGGACTTGGATGATGGGGAGTCTGAGGATGGTTGGTTGGTTGGTTTTGCATCTGCGCCAGTGTAGTTTTGACCCTGGGTAGGGATCACACAGCTCCAAGTGGCTTTTCTGGAGCTGTGGCAGGTAAGGCTGTCTCCCTCTTTTCTCTGGCCTCTCTGACAGGTACACACACACACACAGCTCTCAATATTTCTATATCTATCAGGGTAGACATAGGACCCAGCATTTACGACACCCACTAGGACATCCTTGACCCCCATCACAGTACCTGAGGGCCAGTCCTGGCTCTCCTTTGATTACACCTCCACACTAATACACACCCTGGGAGGCAGCAGGTGCTAACTCAAGTAGCTGAGTCCCTGTCTGTCATAAAAAAAAAAAAAAAAAAACTGAGTTCCTAGCTCCCAGCCTTGGTCCTGACCCACTCCTGGCCATTGAGAACATCTTTCATGGGGGTTGGGGGTTACTCACAGATTTCAAACTTTCTGCACCAAAACATATCTTTGAATTTCATTTTCCTTGAGCTGTTAGCAGCACAGAACTATGCATGGGTTTCAAGATTTTTTTTCCCACCAAAATAAACTTCACTCTTCATTCCATTCTTCAGGTATTTTGGGAGCACCCTGGGATGTGTGTGTGGATAGAGAGAGAGGTGGTGGTGGACAGATTTTTTTTTCTTCAGTCTCCTCAGTCTACAGTTTATGTTTAAACATTTTGGTAATGCCTTTCTTTGCATGGTCAATCTTCAGGGTTTATTTTAGGTTTATTTTATACTTCATGTGTGTGGTTTTTCTAGCTTTGTCATTCTCATCCGTACTGCGGTGGCTACTCATGAGCCATTATTCTGCCGAGTTGTCCACAGAAAGACATGCATGAGGTGTGTGACCGTGGGACCAGTCTGGTGATCAAAGTCCCCAAGTCATTTCTTCGTCGTGGTATTAATGAGATAAGACACCCATGGCCATTTCCTCTGCTGCCTTCTCAGGATACGCTAACTGTCTGGATTTCTTTCTGAAAGGTGCTGCCCAGAAATCTTGCCCTTCCCTTTGTTGAGGTCTCCAGCATCTTGGGGCTGCCTCCCATCCTGGTCCACTCAGACTTGGTGCTGACAAACTGGATGAAGAAAAACCCAGAAGGGTAAGGAAGGGCGGGAAAGCCGTGAGTGTCCAGGGACTGAAACTCGGCAAAGATCAGCCTTGGGACTCTTAGCTGTCCCTGCAGGAAGAACCCGGAGTGCTTTAGCTATTTTATGATTAGGGGACATTCATGTTTATTGCCCATTTATGGTTCCAGACAAGAGGTGAACTCGAATACAGGTTCAAAAACCACAGGCCCTGGAAGTGTCCATTATGAATCCACAACTGGCCCAGGCGAGTTTCTCTTGTTTGTACTTCAATCACATCTGAGGACCTCAGCCTGACCCTCAAGCTCCTGCATAATCAGACTCCACTCATAGTTTATCACCAGCTTGTCTTTTTTCCTATCAAGCCCTCCATGCAAACCAGCTCAGGGCCAGGGACATCCTTCAGCAGTCATCAATATTGTGGCCAAAATGAATGATTGTGGTAGGATGAAGACTGGGTGCTCCAGATATGTTTGAGTCGTGAATTTGGTTAATAACGCCATCTATTCCACTTAGTTTACACTGCCTTTCGTTTTGACAGTTGGGTTGGGAATAGGGCATTTGTCTACAGAAGAAATAGTGTGAGTACTGGACAGACATGAAATGGAATAGCTAGAATGTGGTAGAAAAGGTAAGCTGTTGAATTTCCCTTTGAAGTGCATTCTCAAAGCCAAATTAAATTGAGGCTACAAATGCAAGATGTAGTTGGTTCTACAGCTGATTAAGCAGCTGAAGGGACCATGAGGTTGCAGGTGAGGGAGAACTCCATCAGCATAATGATCGCAGGCTTGCAAGACGACGTGGTGGGAGCCAGCTCTGAGGGCTCAAACACCTGTTAGACACCTTAGCTTTCAGGACTATGTGTGTGTGCCTGGGAAGAAGCAAGATGGGGTCAGTTCATGTTTCTGATTCCTCTGAGTCCTGAATTTTGTGTTTTCTACAACTATTCATTGTGATCTTTGGCCAATTCTGCATGGATAACAAAGTTGGAGGCTACTTACTGACTCTGGCTTGGATTTGGGTGGAAAGAAGTTATAAATGCATGTGCATAAATGAATCTAGTCGGCCGGCACCGTGGCTCACTAGGCTAATCCTCCGCCTGCAGCGCTGGCACACCGGATTCTAGTCCTGGTTGGGGCGCCAGATTCTGTCCCGGTTGCCCCTCTTCCAGGCCAGCTCTCTGCTGTGGCCCGGGAGTGCAGTGGAGGATGGCCCAGGTGCTTGGGCCCTGCACCCCATGGGAGACCAGGAGAAGCTCCTGGCTCCTGGCTTCGGATATACACGGTGCGCCGGCCACAGTGGCCATTGTGGGGTGAACCAACGGAAAAGGAAGACCTTTCTCTCTGTCTCTCTCTCTCACTGTCCACTCTGCCTGCCAAAATAAATGAATGAATCTAGTCAAGTCTTTGAATACATTGGATTTATGATTCAAAGAGAAAAGGAGGAGAGAGGGAAGTGGAGGGGGAAACAGCTGCTCTAAACTGGCAATGTAGAAAATTCAGGAAAAAAAAAAAGTTGAGTTTCTTAGTGAGAGTGCAGGGCTAGTTTAATCCCAGAGATGCAGACACAACCCTAGCTCTCCCCAGGGCTTCTTTCTGGGTAATTGGGCTTTGGAGTCTTCTAAATAGGCCTGGTGTGAGGCTAAGGACTGGCAGGAAATAGAAGCAAAGCATTCTGCATGGAGTGAAATGACAAGACACAGAAGCCCACTGCAAAGGTCGAAGAATGACCTGAACAACGGGTCCTTTAGAATTTCCGAGAAATGACATGAAACACGAGCTTTGAAAACCAGGGGGAAAAATGTTGCTAGAGGGCAGAATCTGCCCGAAGTCGAGTCAAAACAGATGAGTTTGTGGTAATATCCACCATTTAGGGGCAATGCAATAATTAATCCAGATACGGCTCACTCTGAGTCATATGGCAGGCCATGATCCAGATGTGTGTGGCTATGACTGCTGCACGTGTTCGCATGCGAACGCGTGTGTCCCTGCACATGTTGGCCCTAGAAAGTATACCTGGTTCACAAACTGAATTGGTCTCTTATTTTCTTTTTCTCTTTATGGTTGTCAATAACTGAAATTTGACTAGACCCCTGGAAATCAGGTAAGTGCTCAGAAACCCTTGGTAACTTGATTGGTTTTCAATTGTCATAGTATTGCAAGATGATAGAATTCACTGGAAATTTAAGCTATAACTTGATAATTCCATCAGCAGCAAGTTTTTCCTTTTTTAAATGGGTTGTTTAATTTATTTGAAAGGCAGAGTGACACACACACACACACACACACACAGCCGAGAGAGAGAGAGAGAGAGAGAGAGAGAGATCTTCCATATTCTAGTTCACTCCCCGAATGCTCACAGCACCAGCACTGGTGTTCTGCTATGGGCAGAACCGCATACCACACACCACATATGGTATGTTCCTTAACCAATATGCACCTAAATATTTATTTTAATTCCATTGTCCATGCATGTTTGGAGGCAGCCTTGTACGTGTGTACTATAATGTCAGCTATAGGAAAGTACATGTGAAAAAGACTGGAAGGGAACGTGTCAAAAATTTACCCGTGGTTGCTTCTGCCTTGTAGAAAGGAGGGGGTTGCTTTTCTTTATTGTGTTTTCCCATCCGTCTGTCATGAGAGGTAAAGTGCAGTATGGGAGAAACAGGAAACCTCACCAAATGTCTAAGGCTCTTTGACGTCTGTTGGTCTGGAAGAGATTCCTCATCTCATCACCACGGCTGTGAGTGGCCACACTGCAAGCAGTGGCTACAGCTACAGCAGAATCCCTTTGAACACTTAGTTATTGTGAGGAGCTTTGGTAGCTAGAAAATGCCCCCGTGGCAATAAGGAACCAATGTTTGTATGAAACCTGCCATCCGCTGATGAGACAAAAGACATTGCCCCCAAGAAAATGAACAGATTGATAGCTGGGAACTCTGTGGGTCCCATACCCATGGGTAACCCTATGAGAAACTGGGCTGTGGCACCACACCAGAGCACCCCACAAAGCAGCGTGTCTCAAGTGCTTAGCCATGGATCACGTGGGCATAGCCTGCCTTAATTGGTCAGGTCACCAATATTTCTCGACTGTCACATCTCCCAGGTGGCTGGCATGGTAACGTTTGCTAACTGGTCAGAAGCCATGATCTCCACACAAGAGACATAGGAAAAAAAGGAGGGACCCTTTTTGGTATGAAAACTATGTAGAAGGATTGATCAATTGATATGCACTCCCTCTATAAGCTCCCAATACCCAGACCTGGAGGGGCCTCTCCCTTGGGGACCCCTCTTGGCTAGCAAGAGTCTCTGCTTCTCAGTAAAGTCTACTTTCACCTGCTCTGCTCACCCTGCTTTATCATCCCTCTGCATCATAATCCCAATCCCAATCCCAACTCCTGTAACATGAATGTATGGCCTGGAGCTTGCGGGGCAGCCCCACTCTACACCTCCCCAGGACTTCACTTTCCATGGAGAGCAAAGCGAGGCTCAAAGTTCATATCAGCCCTCTCAGCACCAAATCTCAGCTTAATAAGCTATAACCTATGAGACGGGGAGACAGACAGAAAGTGAAGACATGAGGCTGGTGTGGTGGTGCCGTGAGTGAAACCCCCACTTGCAACATCAGCACCCCACACCTGAGTGACTCCACTTCAGATCCAGCTGCCTGCTAATGCCCCTGGAAAGACAATGGGCAAAGACAATGGAAGTGCTTAAGCCCCTTCCCTTCTATATGGGAGACCCAGATAGAGTTCCTGGCTCCTGGCTTCAGCCTGACCCAGCCTGTCTATTGCAGAGATTTGGGGAGTGAACCAGCAAGTGGGAGATTTCTCTCTTCATATCTCCCCCCACCTTCTGTCATTCTGCCTTTCAAGTAAATAAATAAATCTTTAAAAGAAGAAGAAGGTGAAACCATCACTTCCCAACTTTTGGAGTTAGAGTTTGTCGAGTTTGTAGAGTGGATCTCCGTCTGGAATCTTTGAATCCGTTTGTATGAGAGCAGGGCATTTCAAAATGATCTGTTTTTCAACAGTCTCCACGTCTATCTCACCAACCAGAAGGAGCAGCGTTTGCCTCTGCACCTGAGACCCACTGGCACCATGACCTTGGGCTAGCTCTGGGCCCCCATTTCACACCTGTAAAGAGGGAATGTGAAACCCACTGCTGTCTGTCACTCTAACTCAAGGACTCTAGCTTTTGACAAGAGTGATGGGCTGGACCGTAGAATTGGTCCTTTGAAGAATCAGCCACAGCTCCTGCTGTGCACTGCCCAGCTGGGGACATGGTGGAGACGACCCTCAGGGCCCCGCTGGGCTCTCAGAGGGCTCCAGTCAGCGGACCTGGGCTGGAGCTGATCTGCTCCTTGCTCTGTGAACACTGAAGGTGTAGGCCGGTCCTCAGAGCTGTCTTAGTGCCAGCAGACAGTTGTTGCCTGATTCCTTCTTGCAGTTGGCGTAGCTCAGTGACACGGTACAGTCTCCAGACTTCTAACCTCGTGTCCGTCTCCTCCCTAAGGAACTTGGACACCATCGTCTCGTTTCCCGGGGGAGAGAGCCTGCGCGGTTTTGTACTGGTGACGGTTTTGGTGGAAAAGGCAGCTGTACCTGGGATTATGGTATCTTTACTTCACAGCACTTTTTTCCCCTTGCAAATGATAAATTCCTCTGAGCTTTGATTGCCCCCCTCCCTCCCACACACAGACCCACTCCTTTCCCTACAGTAGATTTCCTGATGGAAATGGCCCTCCTTAGGGACTAACAGAAGAGACCCATGTCCTAGCCCACAGTGTAGCTCCTCTTTCTCAACCCCTATAAAACTCAGAATTCACCATGTGTCCATTCAACAAACAGGCACGGATGCAGTCAGTGGGGAATCGAGGCAAACCAACCAAACGTTGTCCTGGCCCCAGCAGAGGTCATGATCCAGTGGAGGAGATGGGTTCATGTGAGACAAAGAGGGAACAGATGCAGTGTTTTCATGAGAAGGCAGCTGGCACCTGCTGCAGACCTGAAGGGTTCAGGTTCACTATGGCTTTCTCCGGGGCGATGACAGTTCACCCGAGTCACCTATGTGGATGGGTGTTCCTGCCTGGCCTGAAGATGCTGGGGTTGGGTTTGTGCCTTTCCTCACCCCGTTTCCCTGGCAAGCACATGCCGAGTGCCCACTGGAGGAGGCTGATAATCAAGTGCTGGCCTTCCAGATGTTCAGACAAGAAGAAGAAGGCTCTGAGAGGAGGAAGGCCGTCTTGGCTTTGTGGAAGGGGAAGGCAGAGGGGGCTGCGGCCCTGGGGGCCCTGTCCAAACTGTCAGGGCTGCAGAGTAAGGCTGACCAAGTTTGAGATGCCCGAGTAGAAAGGATCGCAACGTGACAGCACCCAGGAGAAGGAAGGAGAGGAATCCAACAGGCAGCAGGCCCTGGACAAGTACAGAAATGGCCACTTACCCAGGAGTCTGCGTGGGAGGCGCCAGTGAGCATCTGGCTGTCCTTAGCCCTGGGTCAGGGCTGCTCCCAGCGAGCTCTGATCGCCTGTCCCCGTGGGACGAGAGCCCTCACCTGGCTCCTGCCACTGTGAGGCCGACGCTCTCTCCCCCCACCGTGGACTTCAGGGAGGCTGGTGACTTGAGCAGGCTCTCTCATCCCCAGGCACTCGTTCAGGCAGTAAATGCCATCTCACCGCCTGACCAGGACACCCTGCTTCAAGCCCTGCAGCGACTGAAGCTCTCCATTCAGGACATGACCAGCACCTTGGGACAAATGCACGGTATGATGCCCTCAGCGCTGGGACGGGAGCCCCAGAGGTTGGGCGCCCTGCTTGGAGCCACGGGTTCTGCCCTCTGGGCACAGCCCAAGTGAGCGATGCAATGTTTGTCCACCAGATGGCGCTGGTGCATCGCCTGTGTTTTACTCATCAGCAAGTGGTCAGTAAGACATTTTGTGGGTTTTTTTGCTCTTTGTAATCTCCTGTGGTTAGCATAGTTTCTTCTCTTTGATGGCCACACATTTTTTTTGTCATGTTGAGGGCTCGCCTCGAGCTTGGGGTGAGGGCAGGGGTCCACAGAGCTAGCCTGTGCAGGGCTGAAATGTCTTTAAACTCTCAAATACACCTTTTAATTCTTTTCTCTGGGTTGGAACCTGCAGTAGCCGACCTTGACTTTGGACCTTCCCTGACACATAGTCTGAGAGATGGGGCCAGGAAGGTGGCCCACACTTTGGGGATTGGTTGCAGCTCTTTGTGGCTACAGCATTCATCTCCTACGTCAACTTTCTCTGCCAGAAGAGTGTTTTGTCTGCTCCCCGTTAATGGCCTGGAAAAAGAGCTTGGGCCCCCACACCCACTCAGATGAAGCTCCTGGCTCCTGGCTTCGGCCTAGTGAGACACATTCAGGATTGCGAGACTCCTAGCGCAGAGGTCTGCAGATCACACAAGGCAGGAGCACAAGAGAGGGGTGTGCCCGGTTGGAAGAGACTCCCCGCCTCACACTGCCTCCCAGACTGAGGCCCAGAGCTGACTCTCAGTCTCTTGGTAACCCCAGGCCAGCCGCCAGCGCTGTTCTCAGCACCTTGTGCACAAAGTCTGACTGTCCGAGACAGTGCCATGTCTACCTCCCCCATTTTGCACACAGATGCCATTTGCTCTCAAAATTTTACTGTCACGTTCAACCATGTGGCAAAGTAGCCAGTGTGGCCGAGTGCCCTTCCCAAAGACAGCCACAACCCCATGCCCCCATGCCCCTCCACAATATGGCCTTGCCACTCTTCTCACCGGGGGTGGAGCCTGTGCCCCAGCTTGCTTGTGGTGTGCTCATAACCAGTAGACTAGCAGAGGGGACGGAAGGTGACTTCTGAGGTGGAGCTGGCCAGGGTGGTGCAACTTCCGCCACATTAAAAAACTCCAGGTCTCCAAGGCCCCGTGCTGTGGGTGAAGAGGCAAAGCACGCGGGTGGGCACAGCTGCCCACACCTTGCGTGGGTCGTATGATCCAGGCTCCAGCCCCATCCCCAGTCTTGGAGCCTTCTCGGGCGCAGCGGGCTGCAAGTCAGTCCGGCTGCTGAATCCCTCCAGGCCTGGGTTAAAGATGCAGTCCTCAGCACGGTGCTGAGGCAGTCGTGCTTTGAGGGAGTGGGTCCTACTGAGGCGGCTTTATGTCGTAGAGGAAGGTACTCCTTTAAAAAAAAACCGGGAGAGATTCGGAGCCAGCGCTGGGGTAAAGCCGCCGCCTGCAGTGCCGGCATTTCATATGGGCGCAGGTTCGAGTACCGGCTACTCCACTTTTGATCCAGCTCTCTGCTATTGCCTAGGTAAGCAGCAGAAGATGGCCCAAGTGCTTGGGCCCCTGCACCCATGTGGGAGACCCGGAGGAAGCTCCTGGCTCCTGGCTTTGGATTGGCACAGCTCCAGACATTGCAGCCATTTGGGGAGTGAACCAGTGGATGGAGACCTCTCTCTCTCTATCTCTCTCTCTCTCTGTGTGTGTGTAACTATGACTTTCAAATTATAATTTTTTAAAAAAATATTCATTAATTTACTTAGAAAGTCAGAGTTGCAGAGGTTGGAGGGTGAAACAGAGCGGTCTTCCATCTGCTGGTTCACTCCCCAGATGGCCATAACAGCCAGTATGGGGCCAGGCTGAAGCCAGGAGCTGGGAGCCTCTTCCAGGTCTCCCATGTGGGTAGAGGGGCCCAGGTACTTGGGCCATCCCCCACTGCTTTCCAAGGCTGTCAGCAGGGAGCTGGATCAGAAGTGGAGCAGTCAGGGCATGAACCAGTGCCCACATGGAATGCCTGCATTGGCAGGTGGTCGCCTTACCTGCTATACCACAATGGAGCCCTAAGGAAAGTCATTCTTGCAAGAGAAGATTGTGGGCCCAGTGTTTGAGGGGAGGAAGTTAGGCCACTGTCTGCAATGCCTGCATCCCATGTGGGTACCAGTTCAAGTCCTGGCTGCGCCACTTCCTATCCAGCTCTCTGCTATGGCCTGGGAGGGCAACAGGGGATGACCCAAACACTTGGGCCCCTGCACTCATGTGGGAGACCTGGGTGAAGCTCCTGGCTTTGGCTTGGCTCAGCCCCAACCACTGGGTCGATCTGTTCCTTTCAGAGCACAGTTTCACCATATCTGTGCCCTCTTTGTTTATAAATGTCCCCTCACCAGGCACATGGGAGAGGAGAACACACCCCGTTGGTGAGCCACGCCTGGCGTGTTGGACCCCCGTACTGAGATCTAAGTCCCTAGGCCTGTGTCGAGCTTTTCAGGGCACTGCACATTAGTCACCAGTGACTGTAAACAAATCCAGAGCCTTCTGTTCTCGTAAGCTGACTCCTCCTGTAGCAGAAGCCTTAACAGCACTGAAAATATCAGCCAAATCCGTCTCCACACGCCGCCTCTCGCTGCGTGTCTACACTGCGTGTCTGCACTGCGTGTCTGCACTGCGTGTCTGCGAGCCCTACATCCAGAGCGCTTCTGACTTACTGGTTCACACAGCGCTGGACTGGGCTGGAGCTTTGCGACTGTCAGAAACCTGTTGTCAGATTTGTAAGCATTTGGGTTAGCCGCAGACTTGTTTGGGTATGTTTATTTTAACTCCTGTCTTCAGAAAAGCACACACATATCTTACTTCCCAGAGCACCTTGGAACGTTTTGTCTTTATTTCCTTCTGAATCAACAGAAGTACCAGCTTCTGCGTGAGCCATGGACAACTCCATGAAATTTTCTTTTCGTAATAAAGAGGAGTCAAACCATCTTGTTCTCACAAGTCAGGGTATGTGTTTCACTCAGGTTTTCTAAAGAGCTAGTTGGGGCTACACTGTAGCATGAACTTCTGCTACCATTCTCTTCTGATTGCTTCATTAGTTGTGTTGGAGGAATTTCCCATTTTGTCTGAACCCTACTGGAAAAGAGTTGACACTGGAATTCTTCTCTATGAAATTCCGTATGGGAATAAAATCATATTTTCATTTCTAATGTTTGTGTTTGCCCATGGACTAACTACACTCACTGGTCCAAATACTTAATGCCTAAGCCAGTAGACTCTTCATCATATTACCATACATCCAATTTTATTGTGTCTATGCATTGAATCTTGAAACATTATCTATCTATCTATCTATCTATCTATCTATCTATAGAGTGAGAGCATCAACTTTAAAACACGAAAGAATTTTATGTCTTTATAGAAGAGTTCTTAGTGATATGGGGAAGAATTTAAATTGTGTATCATATTGGAACATTACCTTGAAATCTACAGTGTCTACTTTGTTTGAATATGGTCAAGGTTTGCTAGTTTGCCTGTTTACAATCTTCTTGGGGCTCCACCCTTTTTAGGCAACTTGCTTTTTCCTGAAGTATAAAAAGTATAAAAAATATTTAAAAAGTATAAAAAAGTGATTTTTATAAGCAGTGCCTGCTGGCAGTAAACTCTTCTATCTGAAAAAAAAAATGCTTTTTTTAACATTGTTTTTAGAAAAAATTTTTGAGAAACAAAATGAGACAAAAAGAGCCCCATCCACTGGTTTGCTCCCCAAGTAGCCACAGCAGCTGGTACTGGGCCGGGCTAAAGCCAGCAGCCAGGAACTCAAGCCAGCCTCCCACGTGAGTGTCGAAGTCCCAATTACTCGAGTCATCACGGCTCCCAGCATCTACCAATCACAGGAAACTGGAGTCAGGTGCTGTTTATTTATAAAAACATAATTTGTTTTTTTAAGTTTTTATTTAATGAATGCGTTTTGTCATAGATACAGCTTTAGGAATATAGTAGTTCTTTCCCCCATACACACCTTCCCCCCCCCCAACTCCCAACCCACCTCCCTCTCCCTCTCCCATCTCCTTCTTCATTAAGGTTCATTTTTAGTATGACTTTATATACAGAGGACCAACTCCATGCTAAGCATAGACTTCAACAATTTGCAACCATGCACACACAACATATAGAGTGCAGTTTGGGAACAAAATGTGCAGTTGATTCTCATTGTACAACTCATTAGGGATGGAGGTCCTATATGGGAGTAAGTGCACAGTGACTGCTGGTGAAACATAATTTGTAAGTAGTCCTAGGGACTAGGATTAAAGAAATACTGCCTTTTAGTTCTTCCTGCTTCATGGGGACACTAAAATTTGGGGATACATAGAGTAAAATTTGAAAAGTGAAGGGCCAGATACTAAGCAGGCAATGGAATTCGGGCTAAAAATGTGCCAAAAAAAAATGGTCACAGCTTCACAAAGGCACATCTTTGTCTTTTAATCTAATGTAACCTCCCTTTTGCCTCGCGAGGCAGGAAGGGGTGCAGTGGGAGGTCCTGGCTCACGCTGAAGCTGAGGACGAGGCATTTGGGATTCCCAGCTTAGTGTGGAGAGGGCGTGTGTAAATACCATGGCCGGACCCAGATCCTTATTCCGGCTCCGCCATGCAGAGAGGCCACTGAAGCAGCAGCCTGTGGGCGCTAGGAGTGAAAGACCTCTCCCGGCGCGAGCTGGCTCTGCCACTCCAGGCGTCTGCCTCCGGCTCTGGATTCCTGCTTCCATTGAGATTTTTGCCGCCTTGATATTCTTGACCTTCTTCAATACCTATAATGTTTTCATATTGTGTCCAGCGTTTGGCGTTGTTTCTGGTGGGTGCCAGATCTAACTTCTGTGGCATTCCATCACTACAGCCTGCAGGGTCTTGCTTTAACGTGTGCCTCTTTTCCTATTTTCATTTCTACTGTCATGTATCCTAGGTATAGCTACTGCCACCTGTTGCCTGGACTTCCGCAGTAGCTTTCCAAA